AAACCCAAATTTACTCTGCCATCACAAAATTAAATCTATTTCTGGTTATTCAACTGAATTATGAAGCCAAGTCCTCCAGTTGTGTTTTCTATTAGCACCAACCCACACACTTCTACCCTTTGCCAACCCATGCAGAAAAGAATCTTATTTGTGAATATTCCTGGGCTTTATTCTTATATTAAAATGGATTCTTATATTAAAATGGAAGTAAATCCTAGCTAATCTAAAAAGCCTACTATTTTCTTTTAAAAGAAAGTATGGTAGAAAATTGGTCTTTTCTTCCCTTCCCTTGACCTTCCGACCTTTGAACCGCAACCTCCTTGCCACTAAAGCGTTCAACACCTCATTTAATCTCTCCTTGCTGCATTGGCACAGCAGTGAAAAAGGAAAAGGGAAAAAAAAATAATCTGGGGACTTCATCAATTTTTCATGAATTTTCATTTAGGCCGAAGCCCCCTCTAACAGCGGTCGATAGATCAAGCTGCTGTCACATATTTAACACCTGGGGCTACAGCTGCTCTCCCTAGGGGCTACCGCTGACTCAGGCTGGATCAGAGCCTGGTGACTCAGAGCGAGGACCCCTCATGCTCTCTCTGTTGCTTACAATGGCGCCCCATTGCTGGGGACTGAAATCCTATCTCTGTCTTCCGATAGTCCCACTGGAAAACTCCAGCACATTGGTGCAATCATGTCAATTCATACACTGTAAAAAACCGTGCCTTTATTTTAACAATGAAAGTTTTCAAGAATGATTTTCAAGAATTAAATCAATTTCATAAAAATAAGATGAACTCCCTTTTCTAAATCTCCCCAGAAATTTTTGCTGTTAAGATATTTCTAATAATGCCAATCCTGGTTCAATTTTGTTTAAAAAAAACTGCAACATATAAATAGAAAAATAAAGAATTATGTTCTACTATTTTGAATAAGATTCTTTAAATGTTTTAGGACTAGAACATTTATTTTTAATGATGGAATCATAAGACATACAAATACTACATCAGAATTTACCACAATGAAAAAAAAAGATTCTGTTACTAGAAATAGAATTATCTTTTACTGTTTGAGGAAGGTTCTTACAAACAAAAAGAGGGAAGGGAAGGGAAGGGAAGGGAAGGGAAGGGAAGGGAAGGGAAGGGAAGGGAAGGGAAGGGAAGGGAAGGGAAGGGAAGGGAAGGGAAGGGAAGGGAAGGGAAGGGAAGGGAAGGGAAGGGAAGGGAAGGGAAGGGAAGGGAAGGGAAGGGAAGGGAAGGGAAGGGAAGGGAAGGGAAGGGAAGGGAAGGGAAGGGAAGGGAAGGGAAGGGAAGGGAAGGGAAGGGAAGGGAAGGGAAGGGAAGGGAAGGGAAGGGAAGGGAAGGGAAGGGAAGGGAAGGGAAGGGAAGGGAAGGGAAGGGAAGGGAAGGGAAGGGAAGGGAAGGGAAGGGAAGGGAAGGGAAGGGAAGGGAAGGGAAGGGAAGGGAAGGGAAGGGAAGGGAAGGGAAGGGAAGGGAAGGGAAGGGAAGGGAAGGGAAGGGAAGGGAAGGGAAGGGAAGGGAAGGGAAGGGAAGGGAAGGGAAGGGAAGGGAAGGGAAGGGAAGGGAAGGGAAGGGAAGGGAAGGGAAACTGACCCTAACAAAAAAACAGCAGTGACTGATGCATTTAAGAAGAATTAAACAGAATGTCTAGCCCAGACTATGCCTTACAATACTAACATCTATTTCTCCCTCAATATCCTCTGGAATAAACACTCCTTAAAATTACAAACAGTTCTTAAAGCACGTTCTGTATGGTAAGGATGTTCTTTAAGTAGCTTCTCAAATCAAAGTTCCTCACAGTTTTTTGAGATATTTTCTGTGAATATTCTATGATTTGATGGATGTACTTTTCTGATTATGCATATAAGTAGATACAAATATTTCCCTTTAATTGTATGAAAATGCTTTCAACAGGCATGAATTTAAAAGCAGATTTAAATTCTGGCATCTAAATTCATTATGCTTGGGAAAGATGTTAACTGTTCCTACATTAAAGAAAAAAAGAGCTCTGGGACTTCAGCAACTTGTAAAAATCGCTTCAAAACCAAGGGGGAAAGTGATTACATTCAAGATGGGCCACTTTCTGTCCTCTGAATCACTATATGATCGAACTGAACTTCACTTAAGCTTTTTCTTCTATCTAATGGGTACATCAGAAGATTTTCAGTGTTGGTGCTTTGGGGCAAGATGACCATGGAAGGGAAAAATGAAAGGAAAAGAATGAATCACAATTAATGCAATATCATCTGAATGCATAAGTGTGACTACACTTAACAGAACTTAACAGAAAATGCCAAAATATTTCTTCATAAATAATTCAAAAGTTCCAAGTGTGCGTTAGTGTGGAATGACAATATAATAAGAAAAGTAAAACAATTGTTGTTTTTTCCACTAAAATAGCAGACTCAAGTATTTTAGACCTTAGAAGTTTTTCTCTAATAGCACAATTTGAGGCCACCTACAGTCATCTAGTAATCCAAAACTGTGTTGTCAGCAAAGGACAACCACCCTTTCTCTGGTGATGAAAACAGCTTAGCTCAGTGTGTAAAGAGCAGTTTTCAACACCATTAGAGATAGCAGAAGGAAGCCCTGATTGCATGTGGCTGTCTCAGTTCCCTCAGACAGGGCCCTGGCATCCAGGCAACTCACTGCCCTTAGAAGTGTGGAAAACATGAGAATGAGGACTTAATGCTGACAACAGGCTGTCAGCAACAACTCATTTCTCAAGTGTGTACATGGCCTGTTACAGGTTTGCCCACTTTTTTCACTCTAGAAATGCTGACATTAGAAGTAGTTCTCTAAAAGTCACTTTAAAACTTAATTTATAGATAAAAGTTTCAAAACCAAGGAAAATTAGTCAGTTTGGGTATCTCTCTCCACAAGATTCTTTTGATACACCTCTTCTGATGTTGCCATGCGTTTTCGTAACCTATGAGCATAAAAAAAGAGGATCTCTAAAATTTAACAAATGAACAATGATTACAGTTTGGTTTTTTCTCTTTGAAAATACCTTCTTATAATCACAATCATGGTATGGGTCAAGGAAAGACAAAGCAGTGTTTAATTTAAGTGGTAACAGGATGCCTGCCTTAGACTGCTAAACCGTTTAACTGGAAAATTCAGTCAGTTAAATTTCAAAGCTATGAAAACAATTAAAAAATGTGATGTCAGGTGCATGTTGCTATTGCAGAAACTTTGGCTATAGTTTCAGATCTAAAGTTTCATGTTCTGTGATCCTTCTGACAATGAAACTTGGTATTATTATTTTTAAAGTCTCGTACTGCCTCACATGCAGTTCATGCATGACCTGCCATCAGTTATAGTGCTTAAAGAAATAATGCCAAAGACTGGAGATGCTGTAACAAGAGTCTCACAGCAGCCACTGAAGTAGGGATCAGTGAAAACTGATAGAACATAGAGTACCTCTGAATTCCAAAATAACCAATCACTTCAGTTTGATGACTCAAAGCATAACTTTAACAGTGTTCTGAGCTTCAATGGGAGATGTCTAAATCTTAACACGATTATCTAAGATCTCAAATGTTTAAGTCTTTCACACAGGGTTTCTCAATAGATAGCTTAAAACAAAAAAAAACATGTATATAAACACAGGAATAATCCAGTTAAAGTTCATCTGTATTTGTACTCACCCAGCTTTCAACCTTTCTTAAACTGGTCATCTTCTCAATTCCTAAATAGCTACCTACACTTAGTAGTAGAGTAACATTATGATGCCTTTATCAGCAGATATACATTTATTAGTGGCTCAAACAAACCTGCTTTTATTCTTCCTTTAAAACAGTTCTTAATTTAGGTTGTGACAAGGAAAAGGCTGTGAACAGGTCTGTTCTACTCAGCCTATGCCAACATCTAACTAATTCAAGAATGTCATTTTCTGCAATTTGTGAAAAGACTGAAAACCTACGATCATGTCACAATAGCTATAAAAGTCCCAGACTGCATCAGGAATAAAGTTTGCTTTTTTCTACCTCTATTTTTTTAGGTCACCATATGTTTTTTGTGTGATCTTAAATCCATTCTCTACCAACTAAGTGATGAAAGCTTGTGCTGAAGCCCTAATCCAGTCAAACACATTTTGCTGAAATTACTGCCAAATGAAGAACTGTGAGGGGAAAATTAAAGATCAGCAAGAGAACAGCATTTATAATTCCACTAAAACACACAATTATGCAAAGGAACACAGCTAGGCTTTGTCGATACTCTGAAAAAAAAATAATCAAGTTTTTTTTCCAACTCATACAACCAAGCAGTAAAAATTACTAAGCAAAATGTTGCATTTTATATATGATGAGCTTGTTTGCTCTATGACTGTAACGAATGTGTTTGTTAACTCTACTGGAAGCATATCATGCATGCTGGGTGGTCTCTCTGAGAACTGTGACGACTTCTCTTTTAAGACAAAGAGAATCGATAAAGAATAAGAGTGCTCTGGAGGATATGAGAAATGGCCAACAATTTCACTTGCCACTCACATAATGAATGAGGCCTATATCAAGTTTATGATAGAGGAGCACACACTGAGGTTGCCAGCACTACAGAACATGAGACACCAAGAAGCTGTCTGTTCCTGTTGAGGTAACAGATGACTAAATAAAGAGAAACAGACAGTGCACCTTATATTAAATGATAGGTATTTTTCCACATTAGTTTCAGCATAACCAACTTTAGTCATAATTTAGAAATTAGATTATTCTTTAGAGGAAGATTAGCCTTTGTCCATGCTTGTGCCAATCATGATTATACACTGGCTAGAACTGTACTTCCATATAAATCACATTCTGTACGGTCACTGCTACTGAATAAATGCATGTATAAATGCCTTGACTAAGAGATACAGCTGATGACAAAATGCCATCCTTATCTATGCTTATCTCTCAAACCACTCAATGTGTGCAAGTCCTGGATAGCAATATAAAAGCAACTATAAAGTTTTACATGGTGTTAAACATATAAAACTTTACTCACATGCCACTTCCAGAGATGCATTGCGACTCACAGCTTCTCCAAGATAGTTCCTTGCTACACAAACATAACTTCCTTCATCAGGTTTACTCCTGCGTCCATGCACAATACGTAAGAAAAATAAAGATCCGCTAGGCAGCAGCATACGGTGGGAGCGAGGATCATCTTTGTCAGTTTCCACTCGCTCTCCATCTTTGTACCATTCAATAGTAGGAGTTGGCCGTCCTTCAGCTTTACAGTTCAGGGTTGTTGGTTCTCCTTTAGAGACTATCACATCTGAAGGATGCTCAACAATCCGTGGTGGAAAGTCCTCTTGGCGGAGACGGGATCCTAGAGACAAAGAAAAGGGTGGAGTGAAGGATAATTTATTTCCACTTTTGGCTTCACAAAACATTCTCACAAATTAGCCTTTCAATGTCACCAAAGAGATTACAAAGAAAAAGATAATCTGCCCACAAATTACATTGCTTGCTTGTTTGTTTGCTTTTTACCTGGTATCAGAGACTGTATCACAAACTTTCATAGCTAAAAACCTGAGTTTGTACTACAAACACATACTTCTGACTCAGGCATTAGCAAACCAATACCTTATGGAGACAAAACTTGCGGAAAAACTGTTACGCAACAACCATGACATGATCTTTTCCTTGTTGCAATAATCTTTCTGTTCACATTAACTTACAGATTTCTGCGCCCTTCCAAATTTCACTCATGCTGACCTCCTGTCTTTTCATCTGTCAGATTCAATCAGATTCAACATACAGATTTTTCCAAAAGCCCTATGTCTTACTGTCTATTGGTTAACAATTTTTTACAATTATAATTGTATGCTTTGAGAGGAAAGGAATAGAGGTCCATTCTTACATCTTTGGACTTAGTTTTGCTAACACTCTAGTCATTGGCATAGCAATAAGGTGCTATACCACTATGGTACAAACTGACTCAGCAGCTACCGGATTCTGCTATCAGCATAGTAAAGGTATCATAATCCATACTGCAACTGTACACACACACACACGTAAAATTATACCCAAGCACAGATAGATATAGCACAGCTGAAAGAAGTATTTCATTCTCCCATTTTACTGTCAAAAAGGCATTTAAAATCCATCAGGAGAATTTGCAGTTAAAAAGTATTCCTAGACTACAACTCCATATACAAAAATACTGAAATCACAAAGACTATAAATTTCACAGTACTAAAAGCCAAACGCTGAGACATATACATATATGTATATATATTTCTCTACATATCTACCAAATTAATTCCTTATTCTGTAGGGAAAAAAAAAGCAACACCCATTAGTTGTGCGAAGAAATTCCCAACATTACAAGCAAGAACACCAAGACTGAAGTGTTTCTTAAATTTTAAAGAGACTTAAGACTGGCAGATCTGACTAAATTTTAATAAGCAGATGGTGAAAATAACAAAATTTGTAATAAGAAAATAAAAATCTAAAATATGAACTCATTTTATTACACATAAACATTTAGCAATAATCCTCAGAGTTTCAAGCAGTACATTCTAAAGAGAACCCTTTGAAAAAGCCTTTCTCCAACAAAGGATTAAAGCTTCCACCTTATATAGCCCAATTCAAAGCCACAGCTCATAAAAGGACTAATTCTTCCTCTTCAGTACTGATGTATATCACAAAACTGATGTTTACCTCAGCTTATCTTTATTAAGTAATCTGTGCTCAAGAGAGGGCTGAGATGTGGGCAGCAAAGACTGTGCCCATCAACAAGGAGAGGCTTAGACTGTATTTGGAGGGAGGGATCATATCATGCATCCCTGTGATGTCTGGGTGTACCTTCTGCTATTGACTACTGCAAGTCATTACTCTCAGCATGCATTTAAGAGAAGGGAAACAAGGCCAGGTGTAAGGTGTTGCACTTGGGCTGGGGTAATCCCAGGTATTTATACAGACTAGGAGAAGAACTTGAGAAGCAGCCCTGCAGAGAAGGACTTGGGGGTCCTGGTAGACGAGAAGCTGGATATGAGCCAGCAGTGTGTGCATGCAGCCTGGAAAACCAACTGTGTTCTGGGCTGCGTTAAAAAAGGGGTGGCCAGCAGGGAGAGGGAGTACTGCCCATCTGGAGTACTGCGTTCAGGCCTGGGGCCCCCAGCACAAGAAAGATGCAGAGCTCTTGGAACAAGTCCAGAGCAGGGCTAATAAGATGATCAGAGGACTGGAGCACCTCTCCTATGCGGAAAGGTTGAGGGACTTGTTCTCCAAGATTGTTTAGCTTGGAGAAGAGAAGGCTCTGTGAAGACCTAAGCGAGCATATAAACAGGAGGGAGAACGACTGTATATGAGTGTGGATAGTGATAGGTCAAGTGAATTCAAGGGAATGGTTTTAAACTGAGACAGAGAAGATTTAAGTTAGATATTAGGAGGAAGATTTTCACTTAGAGGGTGGTGATGCACCACCCTGGAGGGGTGCCCCATCCCTGGAGGCAGTCAAAACCAGGCTGGATGTATCTCCAGGCCTGGTCTAATGTTTGGTGACCCTGCACATAGCAGGGGAGTTGATGCTAGATGATCATTGTGGTTCTTTTCAACCCAGGCCATTCTATGATTCTATGAAAAAATAAACACATAATAAATCAACCATGGAGTAAAATCTGAACTGAGCACCAACAGTAATTCCAAACAGATATCCTTCCGAACACAGCCAAAAACCTGACTTTACTGGCTCTTTCTCTGGCAGGTACAGTCACTGTCTACATGCCTGAAAATGACTGCTTCAGATGGTGTTTTCCTAGCTAAATTTTGATTCTTTCACTATGACTCCCCTGCCCCAGATACTGTTACAAATACCCCCTAAATTAGAAGAAACAGAAATATCATTAACCCCACGAACTAACAGACCAGAAAGTATTTATCTCCCATCTTCTGTAGTGAGAAGGAACCATGATTTATCCAAGATGACAAGTTGAGTCACTGAAGCAGGCTGTCTGTATTGGTATCCTGGACTATTCATGCAGTTTCCTCCTCAATTTTTCCCTCAAGGATTTCCAATACATTTATATCTCATGCATGCATACAGCATGTGAATAACCTCTAAATATAAGAGTCCCTAAGCAGTCATTACCATGATGGACAGTAACGATTTCAAATTAGTTGTTACACGCTGTTGGGTGAAAACACACCTTTGGAGAAGTCCTAAAATATCTACAATTGATTCAAAGCTGCATCTGTAAAAGGGAAAACATCAGTGCTACTCTGAATACACATAGAGTACTCCAGTAATCATTGTATGTTCAAGTTCACATATTCATTGCAAATGATTGTTTACTGCACATCTCCAAAAGAGCAGATTTGAGTATATTCTATCGATTAATTCAGAGAGAAAGTTTTAGGCTTACATTTTTGCCTATTATTTCAGAGCTATAAAAGTCGCTGTTAAGAAAAAGACAATCATACAAGAAAAAGGCAATGTACAAGTCTATTATAGTATTCTATCTTCAGTATCAATGTTTTATTGTTCATACTTGAGCAATAACAAGAAGCAGCAACAAAAGATAAAGCGTAACACATCTCTGTTCAGCTTGTTTTTTTCCCTGGTTTATATTTAAACCCTCACCTCATATTTTATGAAGTTTGCAACAGAATTAAAACAAAAAAAGTCTTTCTGTGATTCTACTGCAATTCTAGCATCTGCCACAACATCAGATACTCTTGCATTAACTCTAATTCAAAAACAAGGAAAAGAACATATGAAATTATAAAAGAATTCGATGCAGTGACTTTCTATCTTGATGCTATCAAGCAAAAAAGCACAGAAAATTAATATATAATCTCATTCTCCTGTGGAACACTGCTGATCACACACCTTAGCAATGTGTGAGATTGTTTACACCTTTACCAGACAATGAAAACAATCCTAAGTCATCTTTTTCTAGCTCAAACAAAACCAGCAATAATCTCATGGTTCTTCAACATTAGCTCAACATGATAGCCTTGAAGGAGTCCCTTGTTGGGGCTCCTGATTTTTATTTATTTATTTATTTGCTGGGACCCTGCTGTAGCCAAAACTAAGGTACTATATCACACATTCCATGTTCTTTCCCTCAAACAGCATTTATTTATTTATTTATTTATTTATTTATTTATTTTTATCCTTTTAATGGAGATAAGGTAAGGAGTGAAGCAGCATCTGCAGAGCAGCTTCTGATAGCTACTCATTAAAAACCTATTAGTAGAAATGATCCAGACTTTCAGAACATAGAGCTTTGGAACAGATGTGAAATGATGTACACTGTTGCAGTACAGTGAATGCTACTGCTGCCTTCACTATAGAAAACGTAACGTGCCTAAGGTTCTCATGGAGAATTTCATTACTAATGTAGGGGAATTTAAAATTTGACAGTCCTCAGTGAGCAAACTCAGAACTACAGTAAATTATCAGGAGAAAACTGATGGAGCAATATCAATACACAGCTTCATCTCACATATTAATTTTCCTCTTTTACAGATCAAAAGATTTTCAGTTTTTTTTCCTCCAAGTAAACAGGAAAGTAAGAATCCAATGTTAATTGTTTGCTCTTGTTTAGCATCAGTTAATTCACCATTGCTCAACTTCAGTCTACAAGCCAGCAATGATTTAGGAGAAACAGATTATAAAGCTAATTCAGTTTAAAATAATAATAATAATTGCATTCAAAGCCATTTAGCTACTAGTAATGTTTATTTCAGTGAAGTAATAAAGAGTTTCCAATTATTGTCTGGGAAAAAAAAAAAAAAAAAAAGTAAAATACTGAATGAGCAAAGTCTAGCATTTATCTTATTTCACTTTTGCCTTTACTAGTAGATACAAATATTTATATTTAAACACAGACTTTTTTTATATCTCCTAGAGAATATATCTGAAATTCCTAAACATAATAAAATATAAGTTAGTCCAGTATTAAGAAAAAGAAAATAAAATATAAGTCATGAAATAAAGGTCAGGACACTGAATATACGAAGCCTAGTCCCATGCTGGAGCTGAGTGAGAGGAAGTTCCTGGAGGAAACAGTCACAAAAAGGCTAAAGAAAGCTCTAGTTGCTAGATGTACAGATGCTGTACTTCCACTGAAACACATTTACCACCCAATATCCCTTCCTCTCTTATGACTTTGTGTATTTGCATACTTCCTAATCAAACTCATGGGAAGAAAGGAAAAAGTGAGGAGAGGTGACAAAAATAGACAAAAATATTCTGGAATGCAGATCATAATACAGGTTTCTGAAGACGCTACTCTGATGTGTTGTACAAGAACTGAAAATCACCTTCAAGAAAACTCATTTGAAAACAGTAAAAGATTACATCACTCATTCTTTTTG